CAATTTCAATGATTTTTTTAAGTGAAAACTTCCTGATGTGTAACGCTTGGGTATAGTCGGCTGGAGTCGACTAATTGAAGTATTTTTGCATATGGATTAAAATATCTCAAAAACAAAAAATTGGGTTCTGCATACTGTAACCGAGGGAAATGCTCAGCATTTCATCCTCTTTATAATGAGCTATTATTTATAATTTATAATTCATATGATTAATCTCGCTTTGAAGATGTTTTCACTTCTATCGTGTGATATAAAGCACACATCTTAGTTTTTTAGGAAATTTAGTATATTATTTATTTATTATTACAGTGGTTCACAGTGAATTTGATTGACCCCATAAAAATATACTTAAAGTTACAGAAAACAAATAAAACTAGAAACTCTTCAACAGATTTATTTAGAACCTCTATTTAAACATGTAAAAACTCAAAAAAATTATAATATTCACTGTAATTATTAATAATAAAAAAACTGAATAATTTTACCTCATAGTCAAAATGATACACCTCACTTCTTTTTAACTTTTAAATAATATTAATTTAGTTCAATATCTTTTAGTCAAACTGTTATTTTCTACCACTTCTTTGAGTAGGTTTGTAATGGAGTTGAACATTTTTCTAGTGAATTCTGGGCTTATTCTGTTCCACTCTTTAAGCAGATATTTTTTTTAAAGTCTTCTTTGCTAGAAATAAAGTTTTTTTTCTAATTTCTACCTCGAATTTTGCCCACAGTTGTTCTACCACATTAAGATCTAGTGACCATGGTGAAGTTTTTATACTTTGTGGCAGTTATAAATTAGCCATTCCTTAACTAACACAGCACTGTGTTTGGGATCATTATCCTGATAAAAACAGAATTAAGAACAAAAAAAGCTTAGATTTTTCACAATTTCAAGTTTCTGCTCAAAATGTAAACATGCTTATTCACTATACCGTGTGAATATTTTCATTATAAAGTGAAAATTTCCTATAATGGAATCCACCATACACCCCCACACAAAGAAACAGAACATAAAACGTAATATAATATAAGAACAAGAAAAATAACATGTTAATAAATAGGATGTTTATTGATTATAATAAATTATTGTTTTCAATGTAATATAAATTGGACTATTTATTTATTCAATAATATCTATCAATATCCAGGTTTATCGTTTTAATTATGAGCGACTGTATGTTTATGTGAGTACGGTTTGTGTCATATTGTGTAGTTTATTTGGCCCTAAATTCCTGCTAATTTTCACGTGGATAAGTTGGAGTAATCCTACTTTTTGTGATTAAAAAAAAAAAAATTCCAAGGTGGGAGCTTTAGCGATTGCTATGAAAATTTGTATTTGAGGGTCTTTTGATGTGTGAAATACAAATCTTAACTCTGTTTCTCCTTTAAAAAAATAGTTGAACATAATTTGCTCCTTCAATCGCTACGAATTCCTGATTGATTTCAATGATTTTTTTATTTTGATTTGAAGGGAATTTAGTAATCTTACAAATAATCATGTGTACAATCAAGGAAAAAATGCATACGTTTTAAGTTATTCTTAAAGATTTTTTTTCCTTAAAAACTTTTTCCCCATATATTTTGGGGAAATGTGATTATTTTTTGCACATGAAGATCTTCAAAATGAGAGCTCAATCGTTGGATTTGATGAAGAATTGACAAAGTTCTGGTGTGCTGACAAAAAAAACACCTTTGAGAAATAATATATAAAGATGTTTTGGAGTATTAATACCAATCTTCAGAACTGTACACTTAGTCCAGGCAACAAAGGAAAAACAAAGGAGTCTTTGAGCTAGTATTTTACCGTAGAAGCAGAATATTGGGATTTGGACTTGTGATATTTATATTTATTTTTTTCGTTTTAATTTTCTGGGAAATCTAAAATATATTTAAGATAGAGCAAGAATATAATATTCCTACAATATATTTACTGGTTAACATTTCATGGTTGTATATACACTATGAAATTTATTGCTACCTTCAAAGAAAAAAATCATTACTTTTCATATGGCATATTCCTAATTACTCAGCAGTCCTCTAAAAAAACATGCAATAGTAGTAATTATAATTTGTATAAATGACGACTTCAAGAGAGATGTCAATGTTAAAATGAGTTACAAAAAATAAATAATTATCTTCTTATTTTTCTAAATAATTATGTATAATATATAAATCGTTATTCATGGATTCATTTAGATAATGGTTGGGAGTTCAATTAAAAATAATAATCCGCAACAATGATTAGTCTTGGCCAATGATTGAGCTAGGAAGTAATAAGACCAGAATTATGATAAACTACCTGGTTTTCCCCAATTAAGAGTACCCATTTTATTGAGATTGGGTGTTACCCAAAGGATCTATAGACCCCCGTGGTCAAATTCATATTAATATTATATATATATATATATTTATATATATATATATATATATATATATATATATATATATATATATATATATGCTTTTAATGCATGTTTTGAATTCATTCTAAAATAATTATAAATCATCTGATATAGTTAAAAAAAATTGATGTTTTAAACTGAAAGTTTCTAAATTGTTGGATTCTCAATCATAATAAAACTTAATATTATTGGATGTTGAATTCAAATTTTTATTAATACTATTCACTAAATGTTCTCTAGCTTCCGCAATTAGATATATTATTGATTTCCTTATCATAAATAAATTCCTGGATACTTTGTCACATATAACCAATGTTGAAACTTGTCAAAGGTCTCAAAAAGATATAATTTGTGACTTGGTGAAGATATAACTTGGTGAGCATGTTTGATAACAAAATGTTCAATTATTCACTGCATAGGAAAATAGCCTAATATTTAAGTTTAGTCATAATTATCAATTTTTTAATCAAAAACCCTTCTTGACAACCATGTTTTAAAGTAACCCTCATTAATTTTCATATTATTTAATTAGCTAATTGAATAAATCACAAAACTTATAAATAATACGGAACAACAACTCTTGAATCTTTAAATTATAGTATTTATATTATACAAATTCAGACAAACGAACGATTCATTCTACACCAATAGCTCTGGGCTCTTAAAAATGGGTTCTATTTTAATAATATACTTTCATCTAGCCATATTTTTTAAGAATAATCTCATTATAAATCATAAACACAATAGAACTCGAATCTATTGCACCTTTAATCTATAACATTATAAACCAAATATTAAAAACATATACTCTTTACAAATTTACCTCCTGTAGATTAATTTCTCTCAATACCTATTTATTTTTAACAGTCATTTCACTTCATATTTTTTATTTGTTTACTAATTTAACAGAAGATTTTACAAAATATGAATTGTAAATTTGATGCACAGGTGTTGATGCTCCAACAGTTTTGCTACGATGATTAATATATATTTCTGTAGTAAGTTTTACAATTTGCCAAGACTTATATTTTATTTAACTTAAACACTTTTGATATGGCTGGAATATATATATATATTTTTTTTTTTTCAGTTTTTTCTCTTATTTCAAAACTAGAACTATCTCCCTTGCAACTTTTCAAAGAATGGTTTTATAAATAATTTAATTAATTCTGTTGATTTTACCAAAAAGTTGGTCATAAATATGACATATTCATAGCTATTCAAACAAACGACATATTAAAATAAAGTAATTAATTTAAGATAAATAATAATTCAAACCTAAGCTCAACTACTGTGTATTTCTCATTTAATGTAATTTCTTTAAAGAACTTAAATAAATAAAATTTAAAATTTTACTATAAACCTTGAAATTTATTGTAAAATGTTCTTTAGAACATTTATTTAAACAACTTTTTAAAAAAGTGTCAACTACAGGCTTATACAAAAAGAAACATTCTAGAAATAATGAAGCTGATCGGAACACTAATGAACTATTAGCGATACATTCCATTAGTGTTTAAAATTAATTAATATATCAATGAAAAACTAATATAATTTATAAGATATCTTAAAGCAATAACATCAAAATTCAATTTTATTACAAACTGAATTTTTTAAAATTTATAATCATCTTACTTAACTGCACTTCATTCTTAATTTAGAATATTAAATTTGGTATGAGTTAGAATGAACATATTATTTTTCAATTAATGTCTATTTGAGTAAACAAATAGTATGAAATAAAGCTACTTAGAGACTAAATGTTATGTTAATAAAAATTAAGAAATCATAACCTCACTCAATTCCTTTAGAGGGGTTATGAAGTTTAATATTTAAATTACAATATAAGCCCTAAAACGTATGTTTAAAAATTGTATAAAAATGTTTAATTTAAAAAAGGTAACACATGGGTAAAAAATCGTAGTGGGATAAATTTCGAAATCAAAAAATTGTAATTTTGGAATAGGAATTTATACATATACACACTTTAATTACCAATAATGTTGTTTCTGTAACAAAATTATTTTCAGAGATAACTGTTCTAAGTACTCAAAGAGAAAAATAAAAAAATAAACAGAAAGATTGAACGGTTAGGGAGTTGCCGCTCGAAATAGGTACCGTTGTTTACCTTTCTATACTCATAGCTTGATGTTTAATTATATTCTAATTAACATATTTTTTTGTTTAAATAGTATTATTTTCATGAAATAGATAATAATCCTAAGATATATCAGTCAAAAATTGTCCTTACTACAAAATGACTGATTATGTTTAGCTATCTTGAGTTCTATAAAATATTTTATGTGGTGATATTAATTTAAATAATAAGTTTATATAGTTCAATATGTCACTGAATACATAAATTATTAAAGCTGAGTAATATTCAATTGAAAAAAATTCAAATTATATGCTAAATTAAAAAAATATATGTATTACTTTTTAATCAAACTACTCGAAAAAATGTATCATTTACATTAAATTTTAAATAAAATAAAATATCACATTGATTTTTAATTTTATAACGCTAGGTTAACACATATTTAATTAAATAATGCTATAATTAATTTTTTGCTCAGGCAGTGTAAGCAGGATTCAGTTGTAGGCTTGAGTTTAGAGTCAGTTTGGCTCCGTTCGTTAAGCAGTTTGTACCAGTTGAACATGGCCGATATCTCGAAGGAAGATTTGAAGAAGGAGATCACCGGTAAAACTATTTATTTCTGTATTTAATGCTTTGGGGATGTGGGCTATATGAAAACTAAACCATTTTGATTTTTCTGTACAAGTTTTATATTGAGGAAAATGTAGGTTGTCGGTGAAATAAGGGTAGTTGTCTCGTGAAAGTATGCATTGGGATAGCTTGTTTTTAGGGTCTCAACACCGTGCCATTGTACAATGGCTACATGACGCTTTGGACTTAGTGACGGCATACCTTATTGAAACTTCATTTTCTCTCTTATTTTTACTATTATCTATGATTTTTAATTAATAATTTTAATCTATATATTATTTTTAATTTTTTTTTCCTCTAGAAAATTTTGTAAAACATCTTGTTTATTAAGCTTTAAAGGAGTGTTAGTAATTTTCATGCGATTCTGTAAAAAAAAAAATCGTTATCTGTACTTAATAAAATTCTGAAATTAATAATTTGTCTTTTTATTTATTATTTAATTCTTTATTTTTTAAATATTCGAGTAAACATTACTTTATTTAATTTCCATATTTTTTATTAGCCATCTTGAAAGGTGCTGATCTCTCAACAACTTCTGCCAAAAAAGTTAGGCAACAAATTGAAGAAAAATTGTCCATTGATTTAGCTTCAAGGTATTTATTTTGTTTTTTAAATTTCCATATAGTCATGATTTTTTTTTTTTTTTTTTTATTAAGTAATTTTTCATTGTAACTTTTTCAGGAAAAAAGAAATTGACGAAATAGTCATGCAGGTTTTAGCCAGCGAAAAGAAAGGCAAAAAGGTAAAGAAGAATGGTAATAAAGATGATGATGACGAGGAAGAAGGTGAAGAAGAAGAAGGTGATGAAAAGGACGAAGAAGAAGAAGAGGAGGAAGATGATGATGACGATGAGAAGAAACCAAAGCGTTCTCCTAAGAAGATTTGGGCCAAGCGAAGAAAGTCTGACAGCGATGGAAGCGAAGATGCTTCTGAGGTTAGTTCGTGCTTAAAGTTTACTTTGTTTTATAATAGATTATAACCTATTTTTTGTAATTTACTTGTAAAAAATTTCTATATACATATATATATTAATTCATTAGGTTAGAATGTAGATGGTCATATTTTAATATATGTTATTACTTTAAAAAAGTAAATTAAATTTATTTTGGTTGTTATGTTCATCCCAGGCATATATCAACTCTCGTGTAACTGTTAACGACATACTTATAATCACAACTATAATTCAATAATAATTAAAATTCTTTCTTTTCAAATAACTATGTTTTTATTATTCTCTAGGATAAGGAAAGTGATGAGGAATATTCACCAACCAAGAAAGCCAAGGTTGGTGCAAAAGCTAAGAAACCTGCAAAGGGTGGAAGGAAGAAGAAGGGTTCCGATTCAGACAGTGATGAAGACTGGGGAAAAGGAAAGAAAGGGGCTCCCAAGAAAGCTGGCGTAAGTTTGTAATTTATTTGTTGATGGATATTATCGCTCATTATTGATAAGTTATTTTATTCTGGAATTTTATTGTTGACAGGCTAAGAAGCGAGGTGGTGGCGGTTACAGCAAAACCTGTACACTAACGCCTGAACTTGCAGCAGTTGTTGGCCAGGAATCAATGGCTCGTCACGAAGTTGTAAAGAAAGTTTGGTCTATAATCAAAGAGCAAAATCTTTATGTAAGTTGAAAAACAATTTTCTTATATATATATTAGATGTCTATCTTATTTCTAGGATTTATTTTATTTGTTTATTTTTTAGGATCCTAAGAATAAGCAGTACGCTATCTGCAATGATGACCTCATGAAAGTCATTGGTAAGATATCAGGTTTAATCTCTGTTATATTATATTTTTTATTCGTTCTATTCTCTTATCTTATTTTATTTTTATCAGGTGTTAAGCGCTTCCGAACCTTTGGGATGATGAAGTATTTAAAGAAACATTTTGTCGATTAATCATGACTGCACTAGAGAAAGAATCGACATCACCGTTATACCCTTCGAATCCAATTGATTTGGATAATCATCTTTTATATACATTAATAGCTCATGAAATGTATAAATATTTAATTGTACCATATTATAAGGGTTATGATTTAGAATTGTACTGAAATTTTATGTAAAAAACTAAAAACACCTGAAAAGTCATTTAGATCCGTTAATGTTTACTACATTCAATTATTTGAATGTTTTATATATTTATGTTTAAACTCATATTGTTTGATTTATGTCCCTTCGGGATCTTATAATATATTTTAATTTTGTAATTAGCGTACAGCTTAATAAGATAGATTCGTGAATTTAGTGGACTTTTATTTTTTTCTTTAGGTTCTTTAATTCTATGTATTTTTATTGTAACTGTGTAATGTGTATTTGTACACAAGAAAAAAATAAATAAAATTTTAAACAGAACATCTTTTTTATCCCAAGTTCCTTCCTGGTTGGCTGCCAAAAAGAATTACTTAATTGTTTGTAATTTTATATTACAAGCTTTCATACTTTTTATTTTTGGTCCTTAGTAAAAATTTTTAAGGAAGATTATCATGTGTAACATTCGCTTAGATCTTCGCAGTTTCAAATGAAATATGGGTTCTAATCATTTCAAGCTTACAATAAAGATATTTTATAAGCTCAGATTTCTTATTTGTTAGTGGACTAATCTAATAGAAATATATGCTCAATATTGGAATGGGATTAGGTGAAATAAGTAGATCTGTTTAAGAATGGTATATATATTCATTTACATGATATGACAATTGTATGGGTATTAAAATGGGATTTATATTGAGAATTTTTTAGTTTAATACTTATAAAGCATTTGATTGAAGAATTATGGTGAATATGAAAAGCTTAGGTAATGTTTTAACCAATCATTTTCTAATGGAGGTTAAATATGGGACATGAAATTAAGTTAAGGTTTATTTTCAAATTAAATTAAAACTTGGTTCATTTCTTAACCTTGGCAAGTACAATAAAAGTGGATTGATATGAAGCAAAGAACTTCATTGAGTATGAGCTAATTCATGTTGGAAATTTTATACTATACTTTTCAGTTGGAATAGTTCATTTTTCATTTCAAATGGAGGGCTATTATATTTTCGAAATATTGAAAAGTTTTTATAAAAGTAAGTATGGAAGTTGTGACGTAAGACATGCTTTGTTTCTGGATTGAATTCACCACCCTCTTTGGGCTGCAAAAAATATCTTCACGTCCATTGGATATTGGATTGTACAACGAGTTTCTGAAGTACCCTGACATTTGTTTACCTATTGCACAAATTGATTTAACAACGAATCAATAAACGCAATCTTAGTCACTAAGATAATACAGAAAACTATTGATTAAAATATTCATGTATCGTGGTTGAATGGCCAGTTTAAGTGAGTGTATTAAGTAATAAATCATAAGACATACGATGTTAGGTATTATAAAGAACTCAACAAAATTGACATCAACAATCCACACGAAAACAATGAAATGTTTATGACAACTAATTGTACATACTTTTAAGTAATTATTTGTATAAGAAAATAACTCTTTAAATGTTTAGCCCTATTATTAATCACATAATTTAAGTTTAAAATAATAATATGTCATGTGATTATTAAATTAAATAAATCAATAAATGTTATGGTAACTGTTTCTTTGAACTTGATTTATGAGTAGCTGACTGCGAATTCTTTGAGTGATATTTTCATTATAACAACCCATAATCATCTGAATCCATTATAATGAGTGTCGCAAGGAATTTTAATTATAACTTTAAGTGTAAGTATATATTTTGTTTTTTCTTTGTAGTTTACATCAGCCGGTAGTGGCTGGTGTTTAAGTTTTCACTTTTATTTTTCACTAATTCAATGGTAATAATACTTGTTTTTACGAAAAGGCTCGGTATTCAAGGAAAAAGAAGAAGCATCCACTAATCAGTTAATATTTAAATTCATACAAGTATTTGTTGGCGAATTTCTGGGAACAGCTATGCTCGTTTTTTGGGGCTGTGCTTGTATGGGAGAAATCAATGAAGGCGGTCAAACAGTAAGATCTCTCATGTTTGGAATTATTTTTGGACTCTGCATTCAGGTATAATTTCATTTATCATTAACATGAAATATGTTCTTTTATAAACATCCATTATTTGATAGACAAATATGAAGACAATAACAGTATTGACTTTTATGTAGTTTTAACCTTCCCCAAAGAAACACCAAAGATTTGCAGTACAAAGAGGTAAAGAATCGACAATTACAAATTCATAAACTTGCAATGCATGCGCGTTGGTTCCGTAATCCTAGCTATTTATTATTCTATTATATATTGATGGATTTTAGCTAAACCAATATTAAATATAGTTGTGAATTGTTATAAAGTACTGAGGTGAAATATTTGTTGGCCCGATGGAATGTTGACAGTTTTAAGTAACAATACTGAAGGTATTGATCGCACATCGACTTCTTTCAACGCTAGCTGACGTTTCGGCATAAGTTATATACTATTATTAAGCCTAGTCCACACTAGTAGACATGTTGCGCGATTTGAGTCTCTGAGACATGTCTCAGTTTGTCCAGAGGTCTGTTGCGACACTAAAAATCGCTGGTCTGAAGTCTCCGGATCAGAATGGGAGACATTATGTAATGTTAGACGCGAGACACGTGCCAACCTTCCTCCAGCTAGCGAGTGGTTACGGAGGAGGTCGTGGGGACCGAGTGAGTTGCACGGTCTAGAATCCTCGTACCTAGCAACGCTGGTTCGAATACGGCTTGGGAGCGATTGACTTTTATTTCGTGGCGAACTCACGGAATGAAACTCGACCCTCCCACTCTGGTTAGAACAGGTTTGGTTGTACCTCTAGAACAACCCCCTCCCCTTATGCCAGAAATGGTGGGTAGGAGGTTATCCAATAAAAAACAGCTAGCGAGTGGTTGGTTCGGCTGTTTACAGTTATTTCCCAAAGTTTTACAGTTCTTTTGAAAACTTGTGGTCTAAAAAGAAAGTTTTAAAACTATTTGAAGATTACTGCATCGTTTCCCAGCTTTAATTTATTTAGTAATGCATTACCGAACCTAAGTCCTTCTGCAAGCATTTTGCTCATCCACCAACCTTTACGTTGACGTTATTTCACTTGTTGTTAGCACCAGGCAGGAACTCATTTCGTACAAAACAATATCCTCCATGGTGGCCTGCGAAGGTGAAACTTAGAAATTCACATCGTAGTGTAGACGCTAGACGAGACGAGGAACGGTGTCTATAGACAAATCGCTCAATAATGTCTACTAGGCTTTAGGACTTATTACAATAAGATACACCTTTAAAGAAATATATATTAATTATGCATATAAAATAAAAACATAATATAAAATAATTGAATCGAATTCAGAGAATATTTGAAAATTAAAATATAATTTGAGGAATCAATAAAATACCTTTTAAAAATTTTTTAGATTTTTAATCACAATACAGTATACTCAATTATTTTCAATTTCAAGCTTATTTATGGTGTTATTAATGCTTCAAGTTTGTTCTGGCAGCTTATTGTTATAAACTGTGTGTAAGGAGGTATAAGATAATTACACCTTACTTTATTATTGGTCATATGGAGAAAACAAAAGAAAATATTAATAAAAGATTGCTGTTTCATTGTTTATTTTAAATATTTTTCGAATATTCCTAATTCCCAAATAATCTATTCATTGTGTTTTGAATATTTGTTGTTTAAATAGTGAAACTCGCTATGAATCGCAGAAAATAATGTGATTACTTATTCATTTACAAAACTATGGTGCTTATATAGATATATTCCAATCGAGTAATTAAAAAATTAATCAAATTTTTCAAATGGATAATTGATAGAAAGTACTTTTAAATTGTTGTTTAACTATTAGGTAATTATGAATTTTATGAAATTAATAACGCAAGTACATGCAACTATTGTAAATGATTGATGCAATACTGATTTTATTTAATAGTTTTTAGAATTATATTCCCCTCCCACCGATCTCAAGCAATATATAACGCGAAATAACAAGGTTGTTAATGAACCAAAAACTTTGTCAACAAGGTTCAAGTAAAGTAATGATGATAACTTTGATGAAAAGAAGTCTTATCCTCAAGCTTGAAGTTAAAAAAAGAATTGGAAAGCTTTTTGAATGAGTCTAGTGAGAACAATAAACAATAATTTATTCCAATTGTTTGAGTGGGTGGTTTATCGCGACAGATGGGTGTGAAAACTTATGGGACGATTATAGATTATCTACCCGACTACTCTATCAAATTTGTCTCACCACTTTCAGCGATGCTATATAACCGTCACAAAAATATTTTCACTCTTATTTTTCCTATTTTGTTCGCTGGATGTAACACAGTAACTTATGTCGAACAGAAACTGGGTGATTATTATGTGCGCGGATAGTGGTTTCCGGCCCAATAGATCTACTCCCTGAGGCAAATCTCTGAGAAGATCAGCAGACAACTTGGTAATATCAGTAATTCTCCGCCCTCACTCCCTGGTCCGGGAAAACCCGCATCGCTTAAAAGGTGAAAATGGGGAGGAACAAATCAATAAAAAATGTTCTTTACGAAGCAAAACGTTGAAACTTTTATTAAAAGATGAACAGCTCATTTAGGATTTTTTAAAATAATATATTGTGCAAAATATAATACCGAAGAAGGACGAGTTAAGGCAGAACTTAGGCTGCATCACAACGCCAAACCACGTGATTTATACACAATGAATATAATTGAGATGATATATTTGCTACTATCTAACCCATCAATTCCTAAATGGTTAATGTGCAAGAGCTTACCGATGAGCGTCCGAGGGATAGGCCGAAGCAATGGTGGGAGGATTGCGTTATGGCTGATGATCTTATGGTATTAAAGTTTGACGGCAGCCGATGGATGGGAGTAGTAAGCGATTGGTGTTATCGTTGTCGGACCTTCGAGTTCGCTAAGTCTTTATTATCATTATCTTTTCTTTATTAGTATATTCATCTCTCTTTCTCTATTTAAACATGGGATAACAGACAGCTGATTCGGAATTAATTAGGGAAGAGACGCCCAGCAAAATCTCGCCCTGGACGCGGAAAACTCACGCAACGGCCATAGTCATTAATCAGCAGTTCTGTTAATTAATAGAAAGATGCTTGACTATTGTCTGGTTAACTGGTTTAAAAACAGAAAAAGGTTTCTATATCCTACCTTTGAAATAATAAATAGGGTTTGTGTTACTCAAGTAGCCTTTATGAATTGTTAAAGGTCAATTGCGTTTCAAAAACTTTGTTATAACCCAGCATTGCCATAAAATAATTTCTACTCAAAGTGAAAGTTGTGTGATGCGTACACCAGATATTTTACTAACAAACTCGTTTGAATCTAAAAATACCAGTTCATACAAAATTACTTATTGGTCTTCAAAAATTGAGTAAGTTGCTAAACTTATTTTTTATTTAGGAACGACCTGTTGGATTTTAGAGGAAAGTTAACTAACACTCCTGGAATGTTGCTACATTATAGTACACGAAAAATAAAATGTTTACGCAGAGATGCCCAGAAGGATTGTTTATGGCGCAAGTTGCGCCAATTTTTTTGACGGGGCACGTCTTGGTCTCGTTTTTAAATTTTGAGGTCTATTTCGACGGGACTATGAATTTTCGTATATAGTTTCTAACCAGGGGGCAGTGGAAAAACATGAAACGAATCACAGCAAGTGTAATTGTATATGATCGACGATTTATTAAATTATATTTTCGCTTGCACTATTTTAAAGAAGAGAAGAGCAGTAAAGTATCTTGGAAGGAGGGGGGGGGAGAGGTACTTTTCTTGTAATACAAAAAAGTGAATAATAATGGGGAGTTGAATAAAGTAGTGATTGAATGCAATTTAAAAAAAAAAAACACAAAGCTATATTTCAGCAAATTTTACAAAGCAGAGATTATAAACACACACAATTTTAATTCTAACAATAATTGACATCTGTTTTTATTAAAATTTCATAACAACAGTGTTGCCTGCAATTAAAAATTATACATTTCACATAGTAATATAAAAAATTCAAACGTTTTTTAAATAGTTAACAAATTCCTGAACACCACATGTACCTGTGTTTCTATTTCAATTTCCATAAATATGACGTTTGTTTTTGCCTATTTCATATATATGTTGTAAAATAAAAGTGTTTTGTTATTATTTCATTTGTTTTTGTGTTTTTCAATTTCCTTAAATATGACACTTGTTTTGGTCTATTTTCCATAAATATGATTACGAAGATAGGGATTATCAGTGCGTTATCAGAATTATCAGTGTTCAGGTTATAAACATTAGCAGATAGTAGACTGTCCCGACCGGATTGTTCACAACTACCAACATGAATAATAAGAAAGGAATTCTTTCTCTACTGATTTTCTAAGTTTCTAATAAATATAAATGAAAAATAAACTGAATATAAATATGTAGAGTAAATTAAGAAATAATAACAGTGAGGTCACATCCAGCGGATCCATTGCCTCCAAAAGCTGATGGAACGCTTAGCCATCGGTTATTAAATCAATGAGGCCTGAATTCCATCGATGATTTTAGGCACAGTCTGTTAGATTTCCAATGCCACTGCTGAGTGCATAGCTGAGTTTAGGAACTTGCTGATTCCCGCCTCAGGATATTTCCTGGTCTGTCTTATTCTAAATCTGCTGTAATTTTATATTCTATTTTATTTTGTTTTTGTTGAAGGACCTAATCTCTATGAATATATGTATTTCATTTCCCAAATAAATTTACTTTAACATTTGTGTTGAATATAGCTTTGTAAGAGATAACTTTTTCATCACAAGTCAGTTAAACACAGATTTGGATAGATAGAGTTTTGTGCAAATTACTTTATGAACAGAAACTATGTACACTTTATGGAAATGATTTTTAGTGGTTGATAACTGAAAGATTATTATGTATAAGCCCAAGGTATAATAATAATATAATTTTAGTGTTTATGATACTTAAATGAGTAATGTAACATATCTTATTATTTTAATTTGCTAAAAAACAAAAATTTGAATTATTTTACAGATATTCGGGCTTGATACTACTTGCCACATAAATCCAGCTATTACTTTAACATATATCATTTTTGGTGATGTCTCTCTAGTTTTTGGCCTTTATTATATGTTATCACAAATATTGGGAGGGATTTTAGGATTTGCATTGTTAGAGGTAATTGTTTTAATAAATTTTGATTCAAATAATATATAATAAATTAAATATTTGCACATCTGAATAATACTCATGGTTTATTTTTCAGTCATCCAATTGTAATTTAATGTGTATTTAATATTGATAAATCCCACTGTACATGAAGAATTTTTTACATAGCTTATTAAAGGTATGCAAAAAAATTGTATTTTCTTCCTGAGGTAATTTATTTTATTACTCATGTTTTTCTGTTACATATTCAACATTTCAGGACTGCTCTCGCTTCAGGGATGTTCTATTTTCTATTGTTCCTAAATAATGTCCTATATGTCATCCATATTTTTTTTTTACTTTGTCATTTTATTATAACTATTTACTTTCATTCTATTTTGGAATATTCTAATTTTGCATTTTTCATGAATGAAAGGGATTAAGACCAACCTTTGGTACTATAGTAATAATGAAGAATTAGAATATTCCCAAATAGAATAGAAGTACAAAGTCTTAAGAAAAATTGCTAAATAAAAAAATATTCCTGAAGGGAGGCAAGACTCAGGAATGTTGAATATTGATAATAACATGAGTAATAAAAAAATTTACTCCAGATGGTAGATATAATTTTTTTCGCATATCTTCAATGCAAAGAAAAATTTTTTGAGGTGATTCGAAATATTTTTTTTATGATTGATTAAAGAATTCCCTACTGAGTATAAATCCAACCATTAAGGGACAAATGGAGTACCAACCAAAAAAAAAAAAAAACTTGAAAAATAATACGTAAAGATTAATAGGTCTCATTTTGTGATTGTGTACAAATAAATACTGGTTTGAAATCCTCCTCTATATTTCAATACACTTGGAGTTTATTTAGTATTTTTTGTCTTCCAAATCATATACTTAAAATATTTTCCTCAACATAGCAATATATTCCATTCATAGCAATTTAACATGACGTGCTTATTAGTCTTTAAACAGTGTATGAACAAAATACATATCCATTGTTTATTCGAAAACCCTCAAAAGCTATATATTAAAAACTTATTTATTTTTTTGTCTTTAAATTTGTTACTAATTTTTTTATATAAATATATATTGTATTTATATAAAGATAGGATGCAATAATGCTAATTTAAGAACAGTTAATTAACGAATGTATGGTCCCGTTTTTCATCCCAAAATACATAAACTAATAACAATTTCATTATTAATATTTAAAAAACTTTTATTAAGTTGTTATCACATATTTTTGTAATGTTTTAGCCCCTTGACCATTTTCAAACCTTTCTTAATACATATTTTTACTACCCGTTTAAATTTTTGTAAATTTATTTGTTAATGTTCTCAAATTAATACAACAAATTTTCTTTTCGTCTGTCAAAATTTTTATTGGTGCTTATTTTATATAAATGTGTTAATAAACATTCTACAACCTGGATCTGTACTATTTTAAAAATTGTTATTATATACTGCATTTCATATTCATTTCTTATCACCAACTGTTTTTTTGTATAAATCAGACAATAATTAACTGTCTAAAATAGTTAATTAAATGTTTCAAATTTTTGTCTAAATGAAGGAATATTGACAAATAATTTTGCAAAAATTTAGACAGGTGCTTATAATATATAAAGAAATGTTTGAAAATGGCCAAAGGGCCGAAACGTCACAAATGTATGTTGATAAAGAAATTTTTATGTATTTTGGGATGAAAAAATGGGTCTAAAAATTTGTTACTTAACTGTTCATAGATTAAAAACTGACAATATTGGTAAGATCTGATTTATTTTTTTGCAAGTTGAAAGTTTCTTGATTATCCAATAGTATTATCTAAGAATCTTAAAAGTTTGTCAAAAAATTATCAAATCCTTTCTCAAGTTTTAAATATTAAGCATTTTACATAATTGTATTTTTTTTAAAAGATGTAACATTTTAGTGTTGGAATGTTGGAGAATAAAGAAATTTTAAATTTCTAAGAATTGGAGGATTTGTATAAAGCTAGGAGGATTTGCTTGCATTTCTAAATTAATTTGGATTTAATTTAAAAACATTAATGAAATTTAACAATTAATTAATCAAAAGATGATAATTTCCTATTTGCAACATATCTTTTCCTTCTTCCTTGTCCTCTTCTGGTAGGAAAAGATATGTTGCAAATAGGAAATCATCATCTTTTAGTTAATTAATTGTTAAATTTCATTAACATTTCTCCAAATTAATTTAGAGCCAATCTTTCTACTTTATGTATATATATATATGTATCGGTGATTTACTGCTAATTTTTCTTGCCTTTAAGGATTTAAATTTCTAAGAATTAGAGGATTTGTATAAAGTAGGAGGATTAGCTTACATTTCTAAATTAATTTGGAGAAACATCCTTGTGTGTGAACATCGTACTGCTCACTATGTTCGCTGAACATATTAATTACGAGATTAATGATGAACATATAACGGAGGACTCATCAAGATTTGAAAATGACCCTTAGTATGGTCGAAACGTCAAAATTAATGCGTATCAATAAAATTTTGGTGATAATTGGCATAATTTATTGTAAAAAAAAAATATATATTTATATTAAAATTAAACCATTGATTTTAAAATAAAGTCAAGTATGAATTGACAAGATAATCTTTTTTCTATGTGTTTCTTCTTTTGTTGCACTAAATTCATTTGTCTTCAAATGCTTTCCAAAGTTCTGCCAAACACAACTTCCAAAATGGTAATACTATTATGGGGTTTTAACCACTGGAGCCAGGTCCCTTCTCCTATCTTCCCTTCACTCCGTCCAAACATCAACTACTTGCCAAATTAAAAACCTTTGTCCCTCTCCTCTCTGGGATTTTCCTTCTTTGGAAATTACAGAGCAGCCATTTTCTTTTCTCTGCACTAATAGAACTAGATTAGTTTGCCTTTTAACTGTTGAACATTAATCTATTTAATCCTTTTTACCAACTTCCAATAAAGATGTACATTACAATATAATCCAATGCAAGAAAAATTAGCAGTAAATCACCGATAAGTCTAGTACTAGTTAATATATATAATTTTATCCCATTAACGACATATTGTATTCATCCTATATTTTGAAACTTTGTAATCATGGTGTTAGACTCCGCATTAAAGATTGAGTAATTTAAACTTTTTTTGCAGTTGATTGGCCCAGAAGAATTAAGTTTTTATGGTGTAGTGAAAGTTGAAAATTTTTGTGTAACAAATATAAGACGAAATGTTGGAATATTAAGATCGTTATTTTGGGAAGCATCAGCTACAGGAACGCTCTGCTTTGTGGTTTGCAGTATAATTGATCCCAGGAATAGAGATAGAGTTGAGAGCATACCGATAAAATATACATTATGTGTGTTTTCTATGATTTATGTTTGTGTAAGAAACATTAATTTTTTTTCAGTTAATTTATTAAGAATTAGTTCTATAGAATTTTAAAAAAATATATTGATTATTGGAATGTATAGTATAAATTTTAATTTAATTTCCTATTTTCAACAGATGCCTTATACTGGAGGCTCTATTAATCCAGCAAGATCATTGGCTCCAGCACTGTGGCATCAGGATTTCTCCAATCATTGGGTATGTTTACAACACTTATTTATATAATATAAAATATACAATACATAAATATACAATAGCATAAAAAATATGCTGTGTATGATTTATTTTTTCTTTAAATTTCTGAATCAAAATCAAAGAAAGATTTTATAATTATTTATATTCAAATTATGTTTCAATTAAAACCACTAATGTATAGACCAAAAAAAAAAAAAAAAAACCTCAAAAGACACTTTTCTTACACTAACATAAATTTATTGTGTGGGACAGCAGTTGATTTTGCATCAGATGTAATATTTCCTTTTACTATAGTACTAAGAATCGATAATTTTTTTCATCAAATATACAATAGATGGATACTTAAAAAAAGTGCAGTCAATTAGATCCAGTAAAATTGGAAATCATTTGAACTGAAGTACCAAGTTAAACTAAAATTAAGTGGAAACAAAATTCAATATATTAAATTTCCTCTACCAAACAAACCTTTGTTAATCAAACAAAGAATTGGATATTAACAGTGAAACTGAATTAATTTAGAAAAATTTCTTCTTAATTTTATTTTTTTATTTTGAATGCTAATGATTATTTTAAGAAATAAAATGATAAAGTTGTTTAATTTCTAAAAAAGATAAGTTTTTTTAAATCCAGTTTTTTGAGCAAAATGTCCAAGTTTTCGAATAAAACTTTTTTAATAAAATAAATTTAAATATAATATCAATTTTTTTATATGATAAACAACCTTATTTAGGTTATTCATTTTTTTTTTTTTTTTTTGTGAGATTTTTATAAATAGTCCATGGTACAGAACCCTATTTATCAAATTATTAATATCTGCCTGAAAGTTCGTAAATAGCTTGATCTCATCGTAATCTACAAATATTTTATTTACGAAAATTCTTGGAATAGGGACGCTTTCAATCTGGAGATCGTTGAACTTTGTTTATTTAATTAGGTATTAAAACCTCGTAAATACCCATTTCTTTTTCACTTGAATCGTGAGATAGTTTGACTACAAACTTGAGAAAAAAAAGTGACGTTCAAAAATATTGAGCCGTATGCACTAGCGGATCCAGGATTTGATTTTGGGGGGGCTTCAGCCCGAAAGCTTTTTTTTCATAAAAATGACGATAATTACTTTGGAAAAAAAGAAAGAAACTAACTATCTGTATGAAATGGTGTTTAAGTGATTCCTTAAGTACTTTTAAATGTAATTACACGAACAATAATACTTTAAGAGGTATTTTTAAAAAAAATTTTCCCATAAAACATGGTTATATTTTTCCATTTTGGGGGGGCTTCAGCCCGAAAGCCTCCCTCCCTCCCCCGTAGATCCGCCCGTGGTCAGTACAAGCAATTATTTATGTGTTCACTTTTGTAGGACTGGTTTGTTTTCGCAAGCAGTTATGATGACATCTCCAAGTCAAACTAGACAATAGGTAATGTAATAAACATTTGTTTTAAAGCCAAACTGAACTCCTGGAAGGCGAGAGATAAGTTGAAAAAAGTTATCATCAAGACATCTCTGCTATATTGTGCCAAAATATGGAGTCTCCGATACATAGAGCTGCTAGAAAAGGTCAATACAAAGTTCTATAAAAAGACATATTCGCTACGTAAAACAAACCCAGACTTTTTAGTATGTTTAGAAACAGGGTCTACTCATATTGGTTTCAATATTATGAAGTGTTCATTGAATTGATTGGTTAAACTTGTGGAAATGGAGGAATGTAGATATCCAAAAATATGTTTCGAAAAGCTAAGAAATAAATGTTACTCTGCTAATCCTGCTCTATCGAAATATAATTAGTGTACTCAGCTAAAAGTATTGTTAGATACCATCACTAGCGGATCCAGGATTTAATTTGGGGGGGGGCTTCAGCCCAAAACCTTTTTTTTTCATAAAAATAACGATAATTACTTTGGAAAAACAGAAAGAAACTAACTACCTATATGAAATGGTGTTTAATTTATTCCTTAAGTACTTTTAAATGTAATTACACGAACAATAATACTTTAAGAGGTATTTTTAAAAAAATTTTCCCATAAAACATGGTTATATTTTTCCATTTTGGGGGGGCTTCAGCCCGAAAGCCTCCCTCCCTCCCCCGTAGATCCGCCCGTGGTCAGTACAAGCAATTATTTATGTGTTCACTTTTGTAGGACTGGTTTGTTTTCGCAAGCAGTTATGATGACATCTCCAAGTCAAACTAGACAATAGGTAATGTAATAAACATTTGTTCTAAAGCAAAACTGAACTCCTGGAAGGCGAGAGATAAGTTGAAAAAAGTTATCATCAAGACATCTCTGCTATATTGTGCCAAAATATAGAGTTCCGATACATAGAGCTGCTAGAAAAGGTCAATACAAATTTCTATAAAAAGACATATTCGCTACGTAAAACAAACCCAGACTTTTTTAGTATGTTTAGAAACAGGGTCTACTCATATTGGTTTCAATATTATGAAGTGTTCATTGAATTGATTGGTTAAACTTGTGGAAATAGAGGAACGTAGATATCCAAAAATATGTTTCGAAAAGCTAAGAAATAAATGTTACTCAGCTAATCCTGCTCTATCAAAATATAATTAGTGTACTCAGCTAAAAGTATTGTTAGATACCATCACTAGCGGATCCAGGATTTAATTTTGGGGGAGGGCTTCAGCCCGAAACCTTTTTTTTTCATAAAAATAACGATAATTACTTTGGAAAAACAGAAAGAAACTAACTACCTATATGAAATGGTGTTTAATTTATTCCTTAAGTACTTTTAAATGTAATTACACGAACAATAATACTTTAAGAGGTATTTTTAAAAAAAATTTTCCCATAAAACATGGTTATATTTTTCCATTTTGGGGGGGCTTCAGCCCGAAAGCCCACTCGTAGATCCGTCCGTGGCCGTATGGCATGACCTTCATCCTCAAAATGTCAAAATAACAAGGTATTATAGACCAAACATCCCAATATTTTTGAGGGCCACCTTTCAATCTCACAATTTTATATTTCACAATTAAAACATTTTTTTTATATATACAAGAATTATTATTTAACATTTCCAAGAGCCATTTTCAAAAAAAAAAAATTTCCTTTTCTAAAATAAAACATTAGTCTTAAAAACATTATTTAAAAAAAAATTGTAAATGTATTGTTTTGTTGTTTTTCTTTTTCCCTCCAAATCTCCACAAATAGTATTTTCTTCTCATTCTATCAAAACATCACTTAACCTTATTTTCTTTAATTTTCAATTACCTTCATATTATCTTTACTAAGCTGTAGTTTAGACTGGCTCACGTGAGTTATTGATTAAATATAATGACCATTTATTATGTTTTATTTTTCAAATAACATAAAAATTATTGATAAGATGAAATTAAGCAAACTATCACATTTCTCTATAATATTATGAAATATAAACTATGTAAAATGTTTATATATTCTAAATTAGTATTTTAGAATTTTTCAAAAATTAGAAACTGCCCTACTGAAAAATTTACTTAATTTGACTTGTCATATTCTTGCCTTCAGCCCTTCAGTTATAACCAAAGCCCTTATTTTTATGCAATCGCATATTTTTTTTGTGTTATTTGTTTTTACATTTTATGAATTAGTACACTGTGAGGCCATTAGCCAAATTTTATCATGCATATTTTAGGATAAATACATATAATTGAATATTAGAAGAAAAATTCATATACTTGCATATTTTGATTAATTTAATGAAATAAACAAAATATATATATGTAAATGAATATTTATTTATTTATATATACAAATGAAGATGTAATTCAAGATTATAACGTAGGTTTCTTTTCAATAAACAAAATCTACCACATTTGTAGATTTAAATCTACCACATTTGTAGATTTAAATCTACCTTCTGCTATCTATCTGTCTATCTACGTGGCGCTACAACCCTGGGTGTGTCTTGGCCTCCTCAATGAACATCAGCCGCCATTCAGCCTGATTTTGTGCTGTCAGTTTCTAGCTTCTGATCCGTAGCAGGCTATGGAGCATAGGCATCTGCTCCATCAACCTATTGAAGCCTTGGCCTACCAGTCCATCATGTACCGTGAAGGGCATTGTCCACTACTTTTCTAGGAATTTCTTCCGCTTCCATCCTCGTGACATGACCAGCCCAACTGTCTGCTGGCTAATTCTCATTGAGGTCTCAGGATGAAGAAGTTTCAGTAGGGAGGGTTATCAATCAGTTCTCGCCGTCCTATTCAGGTGGAGGGGCAACATCGTCAGAGCCTCCTGACAGGCTCTAGCCTACCTCATCAGTGCTAAGCCGACCGAAGAGGCGTTTCCCGCCTGCAGCACGGGCAGCCACCTGAACAACCCTGGTTGTCGCCTTCGCTTCCTCTCCCGATGATGTTGGCCATCAGTGGAGATCCCACTACTTACCAGAGAAGGGGTCTCTGGCTAGTTCCAATCATCGGCAAGTACCTTCTGCTATACCTTTAATAATTCTCTTTAGAGATGTTCTCCAATTCCTATAAATCCATTTAAAATACTACTTACAGTAACTGGTCAATCAATATCCCATGATATAATGGCACGGAGGTTAAGATGGGCGGGGCATGTAGCTCTTATCAATCCATCTGGAAGTCTCTACGTAACAATGAATGCCTCAATAGAAGGCAAAAGACCACGTGGAAGGCCAAAAAGCAGATGGATAGATAAAAGAGCTGTGTGCAGATAAGTGGAAAGAAATAGCCCAAGACAGGTAGAAATGGAGCAGGCGTGTTAAGGCGGCAATAGATCTACATGGTCTGTAATGCCAGCAGAAAAAAAGGGAAAAAAAGTACGTATTAAAAAAAAAGAAATGTTTACTATGCTCATTTATGTTTATAATACTGTATATTCGTATATTAATTTTAATAATTGTCTAATAATGATTGAGAAGTATGCCGTTTTTGTAGCAACCCAGTATAATAGGGCAGCACCCTTTTATGAAAATAATGTGATTCTCTCTCTAGTTTTTTTGCCTATGTTCTTAGCAAGGGATCATATTTCTGTTTATTTAAAATGCCAAAAGTATCTTCATAATTTTAATCAATGTTGAAATCTTGGATTGAACATTAAAACAACAGACTTAGAATAGTTTTTACAACTGTTGGAAAACTAGTGGTACTAAGCCAAGTGGGTGAAACTTTAAATGAAAAAATGGAAGAATTTTCTATAATTTCAGGTCCAACAATTCTGTAAAGTATTAATAAAATTTTAAATGGCAAAGATTCAATTGTTCCCAGTGCATTGACATCAACCCGGAAAGTTTAAGTGGATATAAATTTGCCCCTATCACACCTGTTGATGTCAAACATCATTTTCTAATTATAAAAATATTTTATGAAACATTTGGTTTCACAAAAGCAAATTTAGTAATATTTCTGGTAATTAATTTTAATACAGAATATGTCTGCAAAGTAGATAATACAAATATTTTATCTATTTATTTATTTATCTTATTATTTATTCCACAAATTGTAATCTAGTCAACGAAGGTGTTGTAGAGTTCATGGAGGATGGACAAGCAATGGACTTTGGGAATTTGTTGAGGACACTTAGGAGGTAAACATACTAAAAGTCCCCTCCTTTTCCTCTTCCGCTTCATGGTGAAGAGGTGGCCTTAAAATCACTTTTTCCATATTTTCTCATATATCTTGAAAATGAGGCGTCGCTGACGAAACTTTGTCGTACAGGAAATTAAAGCTGATAAAATTTCCTTTAAGAAAGTAAATGTTCATTACTTTTGTATCTTTTATAGTTTTGAGATATTCACTGACTTAAATTGCCTATTTTCGAAAAAATTATTTTTATCTCACGTTTTTTGTCAGACTTGTCTTTTTAACACCACGGCTTTTCGTTCTACAAGAAAATTGTCTGAAAGAAAGTTGTAGAATAGAGTTTTTTCTTTAAATATGTATATTATTTATTAGTTTATCTTTTATGAGTTCAAAGTTACATCAACTTCAAATATTTTGATAAATTTAATTAAAGAAAAACTAATTTCTTTATTTTTGAGCATGAATTTATATATACATATTACAAGTGTAGTAACCTCATGTTCGCTGTAGTTAATTGTGTTTTAGGATACTTTAACTCATTTCATCTCATGAAACAACTTTTTGAAATATGTTTGAACATGCTATAATGAAACAGTATTGATTTTAATGTTGGGATCTTGGAAATAACAATTTTATAGTTAATTTCAATAAATTTAAAACTGGAAAGGAAAGTATTGTACAAGAAACAGACAAAAGTTTCATTTATTATATACATCAAATATACATTATATTTGACTTATTATATTATAATTATATACATCAAATAAATTAACTAATAGAAGAATTAAAAAACAAATTTCGTTGACTAGATTCTTTCAGGACGAGAGAGTTCACCTTTGGAGTCCGAATCCTAGGTAGATGATTGTTCAGATTTGTATTTCACACCTCGAAAAAGTCTAAAATACGATTCTCCAGACAAAATTTTACAGGATTTTAGGACCAAATAAACTAGACAAAATGACCCAGACACCTGAAAAGAAGTTTGTGGAAATTGTACCACTTCAATATGATAACAATATTATTATTGCACTTAAGTATTAACATACAAAATTTCAAAGCGTTTACATATTTATTGTTCAATATTTCTTATGTTTTATTACTATTATTTAATTATGTGTTTATACAATTATTGTTTTTTTGTTTTTATATACCTTACTTTGCTCTATTATGGTATCATCTTATGGATTCGTTACCATTATAATGTAAATATATATATATATATATATATATATATATATATATATATATATATATATATATATATTATAACCTTATTAGTCATATATGTTATTTTCATTCTTTAGTTTAAATATTTAAAAGAATAAAAAAACTGAAATTATTGTAATTTTCAACCCCTCCATAATTTCTTTTGTAGGCACATCATTATATTTAAATACATTATTGCCTTATTATTAACTTTAGTGTATTTAAAGACCATTTACTACACTTTTCATGTTTTTTTACTGCATATATTTACGAAGGTATACTCTGTGTTTTTTTACTTCATAAAAATCCCGGCCTTGGTTATAACAGTTTAATTTTTTTTTTAATAATAGCACTTGAAAGTTCTACTGAGTGCAGTTCTAGAAATATTTTTTATTGTAATTTTTAAAAATATTTTTTCATCTTTAGATGTATATTTTTTTCAGGTATACTGGATTGGGCCTTTATTAGGTTCTGCATTCGTAACTGTTCTTTATCATTTAATATTTTTATCGAAGGATGAGGATCAAAGGGAAAAGATGGGATCTGTTGCACTTCAATCGCCACTGCCAACGAAATAATTTTTGAATTCTATCAAGTTTGTATTATTTTACTAGTATTTGTATTATTATATTATAGTTCAAAGACAAAGATTTTCTTCGTAAACTACTATCATAAAAAAAAAAAAAACTACCATGAAAGGTCTTGAGTTCTGTACTATTTATGGATAGCACTGTTTCTATGTCAATGGTTGTGCAAGGAGATGATTTGATCGAGATCATGCTCAACCACCAGGTTTTCCCCCTCAATCAATTATCTAATTAAAGGTACCCACTTTATAGAGGCTGGATGTGTCTCAGGAGGGTTTCCTGACCCAGGGAAACTACTATCATAGTTCCTCAAACTATTTTGCTACTTTTTTTTTTCCAAGTACCTCCTGTCCGCCCGACGGCGGACCAACCCCCATTTTACAAATTATACAACTGTTCATTTAATTGTACTACTCGTTACTCAAATTTAATAACTTTAATTTAAATGTATTCTGTAGTTCAGATTGTATTATTTTTTCATCAACATAAAATAAACTGAACGAAACCACAGTTCAGACAAATTTTTAATTTCTTTAAAAATCTCTATTATACTTCGCACCTTATTGGCAATTTGTATTATAATATAATTATAATTATTCTTGGGTGTTAAATATTCAGGACGCAGTCGTTAAAAAAAAAAAAATTTTTATTTATGCCAACGTTTCAACCCAAACATGTGGGTCATCTGCAGGGCATAGTTTGAGCACTGAGGGTGTTCAAGTACTGTATAATTATTCTTATTGCCAATTTATAACCATAATATATATTCAATTTGTCCAGCTTCTTATAAGCCCAACATCAGTTTGAGCTGTTTATTTCTAATATTTTTATTGTACGTTATATTGTGCTTCCTTTTCTATTTCATAATAATAATAATAACATCACAATATAATGTAAATAATACTATATATAATATAATAAATATTATATTGTATTTAAGGGAAAGATGTTTAGATTGAAAAATAACTATTATCACCTAGGTAAAATCAAACTACTACTTCCAGATGAATACCATTTTCCATACAAATATTTGGTATAAATTCTTTATTTTGTATTAGGAGAGTAGGAAGTTACAGGAGCTTAATATTGTAACGAAGAAACCAGGATGTAAATCTTTATTTCTTATAAGATGGTAGGAGGTTACAGAATCTCAAAACCTTTGTTATTAAATGAACAACTGTGTAATTAGTACTAATTATTGAGCTAATAGGAGAGCTCCTGTAATCTCCTTCTCTTATAATACTAAAATAAAATAAAATACGAAAGTCAATAAAAAGTTTTTTATATAATAGAGAGATTCAAGCAAAAGTTCTGTTCTATAAAGGGTTAATCAAAAAGTCACTATTTCTTTTAAGTGAATTTTGTATGACAATGATTTCTTACATAAACTAAACAAATGAGGCACTGAACAACATTTTAGCCAGATAAAAATAAATTAAATTTTGAATTTAGTGTCATTTGCTTAAATATTAATAATTTGTACAAATAATAATTTATTTTTGTAAATACCGCAAAATGAGAAATCTTATTTTCATCTAATCTCATAGAATAGATTAGAAAATAAACTTTATTCTGGGACGAGGTCCCTTAAGGATAACAATTATGAACAAAAAATAAAAACCACATCTAGCTAAAAATTACATCAATCAAAATTAAAGAATATATACAATAGTGAAAGTGAATTAAAACAAATAAAAAAGTAACACCATTTTGAAAAAAAAAAAACATTATTTAAATGAACAGAAATCAGGTAAATTAAAAAATAAAATGTTATAAGCACTATGGGTTGATTCTTAAAATTGAAACTCAAACAATTTTAACAACCATTCTCCTCAGTAAAAATTTGATTCATAATATTTATTTCATTGTACAACGTCATTTTGGGATGTGAGAAGAAATTGGTAGAGATGATATTTAAATGAGGACAAGGAATTTCAGAAGGCAGCAGATCGGTCAATAAAGGAATATTCAAATGTCTTAGTATTATGAGAAGGAATATGAAAGTTGGAAACACTGGATATTGTTTTCTGGTAGTGAACCACAGGTTTAAACTAGTAGGAGACTGTAGATGTAGGAAGGGTGTCGGGTGTTGATCCTTTGGAATAGGAAAGATCCAAGGAAATATTGTCTGCAGAAAGAAGGGAAGAATCACTTTAACTCGTCGTAAAGGTGGGACACATGGGACTGTCTCAAAGTACCGAAGACAAATCTTAAGCAGGAATTCATGAGTCGCTTCAAATTTATCCCTCGAGTACCATAGGGATGCCTCCGAACACTACACAGCCGTAGTTAAAGTGGGGGAAAATAAGAGATGATGCAAGGAGCTTGCAGACAGGTTGTGGGAGTAAGTGGAGGGAGCAATGAAATAACTTAAGGGTACCTATTGACTTTTGGGAGATAAGGGCTATTTGAGGTTTCCAGGAGAGGTTTTCTGCAATAGTAATTCTTAGGTTTTAGGTTCTTAGAACTGTCAGTTCTAAGTGAAACTCCTAGAGGAACACACCTCCCTGATGAAGACCTGCAAAGTCGGGTCGAAACGTTGGCTTTCAATAAAATAGTTTTACCACTATTTAGTCTTTTTATGACCGCAACCCCGGGCCATCTCCTTCCTTTATAATGCAATGGTCAACCATTAAATATTCAATATTATTTATTAAATTCTTATTTACGCTTTTAGTGGTGGAGGAAACTACAAAAACTTTTTGTTCTTGTAAAACTAATTTAAGCAATGAAAACATATCATAACATAACGGTAACAAAGTTAGAAAATTATGAATAAAATAATAATAGTAACAGATAACTATGATATAAATAATAACGGTAACGAAGTATTAGTTTCATTAGGTAACAAAGTATTCATTAGTCACTACTTTGTTACTGTTATTACCCTTTAACTTATTCTACTTTAATTACTTTATTTTACTTTAAATTTATTCTACCTACATTTTTTAGTATATACCTTTTACCTACATTTTATTATTTTCTTTTTATGTTAAAAGTTTCTCATACCCATTGTTAAATGTTTTTTTTCTCAGCCTCGATGAAGGCCTGAACTATGGGCTGAAACGTCGGCAAAAATAAAAATAAATACAATTTATTTATTTATTTTTTTCTGCTGATTTAGCCTCAGCCAGATATCTATCCTTTTATGATAAACTCCAGTCCCATCCGAATCCACTTGTTTCCAGCCTTGCTTCTTTCTCGATTCATGATGATCCTCCTAGGCATCTGAAAAGGAGATAGGCTCACAATCGTCTTACCTAGAATTATTTAGGGAGTGCTACCACTGGGTAGTATCTCTTCAAGTCTGTTCATGTCATTATTTCTAATTTGTGCATATTTACTAGTTGTATTTATATAAAGTCGTAAATTTCATTAAATAAACAAAGCAAAACATTTTTTTTGTATTGAACATCCCAACCAATCTTCTCTTCAATTATTCACTGCAATCAACCATCATTCACAATTAAAGATCACAAATAATTTATGATTTTTTTAAAACGGAACTTAGCTATATTTAGCTGCTCAATAATCCTCTCTAAATAGTTTTAACAATGACAATATCTACTTTGTTTAAAGTAAATTTAGTCTTGTTTTTACGGAGCAATGTTTAATTACTCAAATCAAATATTTTTTTAAGGTATCACTTCCAATTCAACAAAAAACATGAGTTGCATAAAAAAATACAAAGCTTAATTAAATTTCCTACTTTTATCCTGAAAATTGGGCAATTGTTTATATGAAATTTGTTGATCTTGATGTCCACTGTCTTTCTTTTAAATATTTCCCTCTACTTACGTAACACACTATTGGTCACTATTCTTTTCAAGATTTATTTTTTGAAAATTTTGTTTTCATATATATTTAATTATTAATTCTATATTTTTTTTAAAACTATCAATCCGAGATATATATATATATATATATATATATATATATGTGTGTGTGTTTGTTTGTTTCAATTTATATTTCTATCATTTAAATCCCTAATTAATAAAAATATATGAACTACAGATTAATTTTTGTCTTACATTTTAATTTTATATGATTTATAATTTAAATAATTATTGGAGTTTTTCTTAGATATGTGCAATCTGGTTTTACTGGCTTTCCCCCTTAACTGGTGATATCTCGATCTGGATTAAGAAGGATACTTGAGGTTCTACTGTACATAAAATTAGAAAATATTGTTTATATTGTTAATAAAATATTTAACAGTGGAAACTTGATATTAAATAAAAGAATAAATAATATACAAAGATACATGAGTACTTCATATATTTAGGAATATTGTAATAAAATGTGCTTATAATTATAATAGGATATCTATATACTGTGGACATCAAAATTTCTACTGTAATAGAAATATTTACTGATTAAAATGATCCACAAACAAAATGTACATTCATTTTATAGAAATATACATTTACAGTCATTCATCGCAAAAAGCAATTAGGGCAACATAATCAACATGTTAAAAAGTATTAAAAAAATTAATATTCAAAAGATTTTTTGAAATATTGACTGACTAACAGATAGTATCTGACCATCATTTTGGTTTTTCAAATTCCATTCAACAATACATCAGTATTAGAAAAAAAAACTATATGCAAAAGACATACTTAAAAAACTTCAAACTTTCCAATCAAAAATATTATGGCTCACTATTAAAGCACTTTATTTCATGGCTATCTTTCTTCAACAGTAGCAGTGGCAGAACGGCACTGGATATGTGTTTTTGTTTTATTATGTGTGTTTTTGTAAAAAATGACACAATTTTTCCTCGGTTGTGCCCATGATTATATAAAATATTACTAAATTCCCTGCAAAAGGAAAAAAAAAATCATCGAAATCCAACAATTTTTAGCAAAGATACAGCTTACTGAAATTTGAAAACTTTGAATGTTGGTTTCAAATATTGAATAAGATTTAAATTAATTTTTGTTTCCGTTGTCGATTATATTTATCGATAAAGTAAGAATTGATTTTTTTATCTTTTGATAAGTTGAATTATTTTCTTTTCTTATTAATTTGGTATTTGATAACAATATGCTGTGCAACAATGATAACAATATGAATTTTTCGCACGGGACCACTAGTTATATACCATTACACATCCTGTGGTATTTTCTATGATTCCACTTGTATTTTGATTTGAAACTTTTCATTTTGAAAATTCATAACATTGTCGAAATGTGCCCCCCCCCCCTAAAAGTTGAAAACCCCCGTCAAAAAGTGCCCTTCTGGTTTCCCCTAAAACCCATGGCTTTCTTGTGTTAGATGTCTAGGCAGCATCTAACACAACCAGGGGCCTGGTTACAGTACGCTGATGTATAGTCGTATTGTTGACAATTTATGCATTGTGGTATCATCCATTTTTTTCTCTGGCTATCTTATATTTATTTTTGCACAATAAATTGTTTTAATATCGAAAATTTTATCATTGTGGCTTGCTCTAGATATTTCGATTAAAAAGATCGGCAGTGGTACTTTGAATCGAGATATGATGTTAGTTATATTTATGATTTCGTAGCCACATTTTTCATTTTTTTGGTGAGCCTAATATTGTGACATTCAAAGGAAGGTTGCGATGGCTGGGCCATGTTCAACGGATACCGGATGAAAGGCTACCAATAAAGATAATGAATGGCAGACCAGGCGGAAAGAGACTTGCAGGAAGACCTAGGCTGAGGTGGTTGGATGACGTAGAGTATAATTTGAGACGTATAGGAGTAAGAGAAATGCAGAAGATAGGCAGGAATGGTCACGAGGGGGAGGAGGGGACTTTCGGGCTGAAGCCCCCGTAAAATGGTAAAATATAGCCATGTTTTATGGGAAAAAAATTTAAAAAATACCTCTTAAAGTATTATTATTCGTGTACTTACATTTAAAAGAACTTTAGGAATCACTTAAACACCATTTCATATAGGTAGTTAGTTTCTTTCTGTTTTTCTAAAGTAATTATCGTTGTTTTTATGAAAAAAAAAGCTTTTGGGTTGAAGCCCTCCTCCCCAAAATTAAATCCTGGATCCGCTAGTGGGAATGGCTATCAATTTTACGTGCGACCAAAATCCAACTAGGGCTGTAGCGCCATTAAGTTAGTAATTAAGCCATGTTTTTGGAAATTGTCTTTTATTTTAAGAATTGGAGTGCAGTAATAGAGGTCTTTAATTATTATTCTAAGGGGTGCCCACAAGGGGGATTCATTTCATTCAAAATTTTTGAGGGGTCACATTTGTATGGGGTTTTGTATTTTTTAGGGAGGCACATTTCGACGAGGTTATGATTTTTCGAAATTAAAAGTTTCGAATGAGGGGCCAAGAGGAAAACAAAGAACAGAACACTGAAAGTGTCGTTGCATATGGCTTATTATTTTTAAAATTCTACTTCAGCTTGCTCTGTTTTTAAGAAGATGAGAGCAATCAAATATCTTGGGAGAAGGATGGGAGATGTTCATGCTTCATCGACCTTGTGGGGGGGATGGGCACCCCTGATTATTCCTCTATTTTCGTCTTGGGCGAGTTGCTAAGTATACTGCTCCATTTCGAAGACTGCTTACCAATTTTCGACAGATATCAGAGTTCCCAGGGTAGACATTTACCTCTTTCGTCACTGTGATTTTGATGTAAATTGTTTTTCGAAAAATGAAACTAAACCTTCATAATTTTGCACGCCATGAATATGGTGGGTTTTCGGTTGAGAGTACTATCGTTTCTAGATTGGTCCATTTCTCTTAAATTATTTAGGAGCTCAATCAAAAGCCATGTTTATATGTGTGGATATCTCGTTTTCTGAATCTGTATTTTGATATTTTCCGAGATCTCTGGAAATTAATGGAAAATTAATTTTTCTTCTTGTGACGAAACGCCAGACAACACTTATTTATTTATCATTGATGATATAATTAAAGTCTATTCTGTTTTTCCTTTTTTTTTTTTAGCCCTATAATTCTTCTACTTTAAAGTTCTAAAAATTATTCATTCCACTAAAATCTAACCTAAAACTTTTATAAAAAATATTTACAGCTATTTAGTATCATATGGTTTCAAAATATGCTAAAAGGATTAAAGGTATTACTGAAAACTTATATTAATGGAGTGTAATTTTTCACGTAAATCAGAAATTGAGAAGCTATAATGAATAAAATTACAATTTGATCTTTACTGTATATTGTACTAAAATAAGAACAACAAAGATAGGCTACGTTGTGAAATATGTCTGCCATTAAGAAACTTAATCTAAATTTTAATTTTCACTGTAAGTAAACAGCCATATATATAATTGAAATTTTATGTTAAAATTGATTTTAATTCAATTTTTTTAAGGGACATTCTTTAGAGAAAGAAATGTACTACCGAAAAAAGATTTATCATTCAGAATCGTCCAAATATTCGTCGCCGAATTCTTGGGGACGTTGATACTCGTATTCTGGGGTTGTAATACGCTCGGACAAATAAATAGTGGAGAGCCTGTAGTAACATGTTGGTTATGGGGAAATATGGTCTTTCTTGCCATTACGGTATGTATATTTAATTTTTTTAAATATAAAACTTAATACATGTTAATCTGAGCGTTTCTAAACTCATCGATAGTATAAAAATATAGGCTACTGTAGTCGACAGATCCGCTGAGTGCAACCTCATTATAATCTCAGTGTTGTTACTTCTAATTTCGTATCTTGTGCACATCAGCCCCACCAGTTACTTTGCAAATTAAAGTAACTGTTATATAAAAGTATTAGTTACATTTGAATCAATGTTGCTATTTTTCTATTATATAAACGTTAAGAGATTCATTTAGTAAGAAAAATGAACTCCTTTTGGCTATACTTCACTTTGAATAACGAAGAGAAGGAAGGCTTTAAGTTTTATCAGAAATCATGAGTTTAGGTTATACTATTTTCTCGACTCTCAATAATATATATTTTCTGTAGATATTGAGATTCAACAAAACAAATCACATTATTGTTTTCATATTCACAAATATAATTTATGTATAATTATATATCGACGGTTTATTGTAAATATAACAAGTGTATTTTTGATATAGGTTAACTTTCAAATGTTTAGGTTATAATCCAGTTACCAGGCTGATGGAGGGAGGAGGAAGACTTTCCTGCTGAAGCCTCTCCCCTCCCCCCCAAAAAATGTAACTATTTTATGAAAAAAAAAAATCATTTAAAGTTTTATTGTTCGTGTAATTATATTTAATAGAACTTCAAGTATCACTTAAACACCATTTCATATAGGTAGTTAGTTTCTTTTCTTTTTTTCCAAAGTAATTATTGTTATATATATATATATATATATATATATATATATATATATATATATATATATATATATATATATATATATATGAAAACAAAACCTATCTGGCTGAACCCCCCCCTCCTAACAAAAAAAAATTAAATCCTGGATCCGCCAGTGCTCTAGTTTGAATAATGAAGAGAAGTTTTATCAGGAATCATATGTTTTTATCAGGATATCATGTGTTATCTTTAATCATACAAAATATATCGATTAATTGTGGGTTAATGGTTGACTGTCGTGAATAACTTATAACTTCATATTCCTTTTTTCTGTTTTACATTTTATTCTAAGATTACTACTTTAATACTTATGTCACCTTATTTTGATCATGTTTACTTCATCATTCCACACTTTGTAACGGTTATTATTATTTATCTCCTAGTTCTTACTATTTTCATTATTCTACCCACTTCATTTTACTTTAATTTTTTTACCTACATTATTTATGTTTCTCTTTTCTTAGCCCTGATGAAGGCCTGAACTTCATGTCGAAACGTCGGCAAATGTTAAAATAAATATTATTATTTATTTATGCCTTCTTATTTCTGACTGGTCACCCCAAAATATATAGATGTTTATATATTAGAAGAATGACATCATTGATTCAAATATAACTAATATTTTTCTATAACAGTTACTTTTTCCTATTTAAAAAGTAACTGGCGGGACTAATGTGCAAAAGATCCCTAATTTTACTTTAAGCGGGGTTCACACGTTTCAAAAAAACGAGAGAAATAAGCGCAAATAAAAAAAAAAAATAAAAAGAAACAGTTTGCATGACATTTCTGTATTTTCAGTCGTGATGGAGTGAGTCGGAAATTTTCCGTCACTGCTCCAAGTGTGAAAGCTCTGAAAAAATCACTGTGACAGATAACAGCGCTTTTTGACACCGTGATTTTTTTCCCTCTTGGTGCTCGGAGCTGATGGCGTTCAAGGTCTATAAAACTACCAGATTCGCTCACTCAGAAATGTGTAATGGGTGGACTTGATTGTGACGTAAGCACTAGACCGCCAAAGTTATCCATTGCTCTCTTTCAAGACTTATCACTGAACGTTTATTTCAATATTACTGTACTTTTTTTTGTTCTGTTATTCAATTTATTGAACTGAATTCCGTTTTTCATTCGATTTTCAAAGTTTTAGGTATCCTGATACGTAAAACCTCAAATTTTAAGGAGGGGATTAAGTTTTTAAATTTTTTGGTCTTCTACAATTAGGAATATTTTTATTTGATTACAGATTATTGGACCTATCTCGAATTGCCACATCAATCCTGCAGTCACAGTTTCTTTTTTTATTTATGGATACGTTTCGGTCGTTGTGGGCATAGTGTATATCATAGCACAACTCCTGGGTGCAATAGCTGGTTATATATTGCTAATGGTGAGTTAGTTATCCATTTAAGTGTCTTATATATGCTAAATTTATAAAATATGTCTTGATTTGCTTGCTATATAATTATAGAAAATACTATTCATAGCATTATTATATTACAATTTATTCCTTTTCAGGCTTTTGGCACTGATGATTTCCTGGATCCTTTCGGATACGAAAGGAGTGATGATTTCTGCGTCAACAAGATCAACACAGACACACCATTCAGGGCAATGGTTTTAGAAGGAGTTGGTACCGCTCTTCTGTGTTTCCTAATCGGGAGGGTTTGTAACCCTCTCAATCCAAAAGGGCTGACGAGCATATCTTTTATATTCAGTTTCGCCATTATGATTCTCGCTTTCACCTTGGTAAGTTTGAGGGATTAGGTAGCGCAATAAATTAGTTAGATTTTACCAAAATAGTCTATTGCTAAGGCGCGTTTCCATGTTTACGCATCACGCTAATTCCAAACATCTACAAACGCTTTATAAAAAAAAAGAAAAATCTGGTGCGCGCAACACACAACTTTCATTTACCTATCTACTTTGAATAGAAATTATTTTCTGGCAATGCTGGGCTATTATAAAAATTTTTGAAGTGCATTTTAAACGGAGCTATAGCTTAAAGCTTACAGATAACAAGTCATTAAGGCCATTATAATTACAAAATGTCTATTTAATATATCGACGAGAGGCAACATTCGTTTAGGCGCTTCAGTCTATAGCAACGCAGGTTTTTATGCATTTTTATTTTTTTTCTCCTTTATTAACTTATCAAATTCTTTCAAAAGTTATATTTAGCATTTTTTTGTAACTCTGAATAATTTGAAATGACTAACTTTTTAAAATAAACCATATTAAAGGTACTTTAGAGGAAGACGTATATGAACATTGGGCATTTAAGCCCTGTAAAGTGACACCAACGGGGATAAGACCTAAATGATATTAAAGGCCACTTAATTATACAATGATACACCGAGTTTGATCAAAATCGTTAGAGCCGTTTTTGAGAAAATTGTAAAAATGTGTTTCCGTGTTCATATAAGGTGGCACTTCCGGTTAGCCGATTATAACGAAAAAGTTGCTGTCACATCCGGCCCATATACAAACCTTTTATATCAGTTTCGAACTACTTTTCGTTTATGAGCTAGACTGTTAACTCAGACACACACACACACACAGACCATTTTAAACTCAGGGGACCTCAAAACACGCATTTCCGTTGAAAACTGAGATTCGAAAATGTTCACGATCGCAATACTTAGCCTTACTATATACTACATATATAGGTAAGTGAAAGTAAAAAAAGTGAGTTGTGTGCTTTAGGCCACAGGATAGAAGTGAAAACATCAACAAATCGAGATTAATAATATGAAATATAAATTATAAATAATATATCTTCATAAAGAGGATGAAATGCTGAACATTTCTCTCGCTTACAGTATGCAGCTTCGATTTTTACTTTCTGAGATATTTTATTCTATATCTTCTATAAAATTCGTTATCTTTTGGTTTTCGATACTAATTTTTCCCTATTCGCCTGAGTAACACGGCGTCGCGTTAAGATACATTTTTGTACAGTAACTCATTACAAAGATGATGAAATGATAAACAATTCCCTCGCTAACAATTTGCAGATCCAAGTTTATTGTATTCATAATTTACCTGATTAAAAATAAATTCCCAGTTCATATTGAACATTCATGTAAACTTAACAGTTATATTTTCACTAGTGAAATAGATGTAACGAAAAATCCACTAGTAGAACTATCCTAAGCAATTTCTACACTATTCTTCAAATTACCTCCTAGTATGGGTAAAATAGAACGAACCATTTTCAAACTATAGGCGTGTCAAAAATAATTCGTTTGTTGGTCCAAAAGTGGAAGTATTTTTTGAAAGTAGTGAATTGAATTTGAGCCAAATCGAACGTTTGCGCATATGTAAGAGGAAGTAGTGGAATTCAATAAAATGAATACTAAATAATTTGTTTTACCATTACCATTCTTTTGTTTAACTTTGAGCCAAATCGAACGAGTCGTTTCTTTAATATCGGCATATGTTTTTTTGTTTTTTTTCTTTATTGAGTATTACAACAATCTGTCTCTTGGACATTGGTTATAGTGATGTAGGATGACATTCACACTATATGTATAAAAAAAATAAAATAAATAGAAACAACATAATAATCAAAAGTATATACAATAGATAATAAAATAAAATAACCTAAAAAATAAGAAAATTAAAACTAAGCAAAAAAAAACAAAAACAAACACATGCATACCTCTATACAATCAGGCTAGGAAACTCTAGGAGAACCCTGCGCTACTCTCTCAACCGCCTCACTAAAGCCAGCGGAGATTCATACACTCATGTCTTGAGAGGAGGAATCTGGCCATTGCCAGAACTCCAATGTATATAATCTACAAGAGGTCGCGAGGCCACTGCCGTTTCAACCTTCTTGGAGGATTATAGGGAGGGGAGGTGCTTGATAGGGATTGTGCAAGAGGATTTGGGTGGTACGTAAGGTTCTGGTGAAATTTGGAGAATTTTTCAGGGATAAGGTCTAGGACAAATGGGATGTTGAGGTCATGATGTAGGGTTTTGTTGGTTGCATAGAAAGGAGCATCGACTATTGTTCGAAGGACTTTTGACTGGAAGAATTGTATGAGCTTGATGTTAGAAAATTTTGCTGATCCCCACAGTTCTAGTCCGTAAGTCCAAATAGGAATATCGACATATCTAAGAAAATACGTTGTTTATGACTATAAAATATTATTCGTTGTTTATGACTGTAAAATATTATTCGTTGTTTATGACTGTTAAATATATATATAAATTGTTTGTTTAATACAATTTTCTTTTAAATTAAAATAATAATAATTAAAGTACTGGTTGCTTAGTTACTCAAGTGCCCTAGAGGGAGCGGGAGAAGACGCCACTGGATATGCTAGTGCTTCCACGATTATATATGTTAAATATTATTTTTCTAAAATCCTTAGTTTTTGAATGGATTTTAGAAAAAATAAGTCTATTCTTGGATATTACTATTTTTATTTATTGAAATTTGTTTACAATTTTCGAAGTATTTGTTTTGCTTGATATTGTTTAAGTTTTTAAAGTATTTCATTACTTGAAAAATGTTATCAGTTGTAATAATTTCAGGGTCCAATCACGTCTGCCTCTGTAAACCCAGCCAGATCTTTCGGCCCAGCGGTCGTCACTGGACAATTTAAAGACCATTGGGCAAGTATTTTAAACTGACAAACATTAAATCTATGTGTTAATAATGTTAGGTTAAGGAATTGTTTCTTAACTGGATATTTTATTCAAAATTAAGGAACGCTCATTATCACTAATAAATTATTATTTATTTAAATAAAAATAAAATAACTTAAAGACAAAAACAAAAAAAAGAAAATAACACAAATTATCTATATACTACAGTTTTAATCATTAATAACTAAAAAACATTTTTAATTTTTTTTTACTAGGTATTTTGGGTAGGACCTATATTGGGTGCATTAGTTTCAAGTTTTACATATCATATATTTTTCCTCCCAAAAGTAAACTATATTGATGATGGTACAGTTGAAGCAGCTGATTGATTAATATTAATATGAAGCAAATGGATGTTGTATATATGTTTCATCTTTTTTTTTTTTTTTTTTTGTACTTCTTTTATTATTTATTGATGCTTGAAATAAATTTATGAAATCATTTTATATTTTTTATTTATTATTAAATTTAAGTGATAAAATAATTATAAAGTTTTGTTGTTGTTTTTTTTACTTCTACTTACCCATATATGAAATATATAGTAAGGGTAATTATTGCGATCTTGAAAATTTTCAAGTCTGAGTTTTCAACGGAAATACGTGTTTTGAGGTCTCTTGAGTCCAAATAACCAAGTCTTGCAAAATGGTCTGTGTGTGTGAGTCTCTGCATGTATGTGAACAGTCTAGATCAAAAACGAAAAGCCGTACGAAACTCATATTACGTATGCCTTAAATGTTACAGCAACTTTTCCCTTATAATCGGCTAACCGGAAGTGCCACTTTATATCAACGGTGAAACACATTTTTGCAATTTTCTCAAAAACAGCTCAAACGATTTTGATTAAACTCGATGAAGCATTATATAATTAAGTAGTCTTTGATATCAATTAGGTCTTATCCCCATTGATGTCATTTTACGGGACATAAATTCCTAATCTTCGTATACGTTATTCCTCTAAAGTACCTTTAATATGGTTTATTTAAAAAAATTAACTTTCTTTTGTTGACAGTATATATATATATATATATATATATATATATATATATATATATATATATATATGTGTGTGTATATAACATGACTAAATATGAAGTTTGAAAGAATATGATAATTGGAAACGGAAGAAAAAAATAAAAATGCTTATCCAGGTTGAAAATGAAACTCCGGAAATAACAGTCAGAAGGTACACGTATAATATGTCGTTGGAAAGCGGAGAATTTTAGAAAAATAATATTAAATGGATAAAGTTATAGGAGGCAACGCAAAGTGACGGAAAATATATAAATAATAATTTCAGAAAACTAACATTATTTAACGTGAATCAAATAATTCCAATGATATTTTCTTAAAAAGTTTTTTCGAAGTTTGAAAAAAAGTATTTAAATTCCACCGAATTATCGCAATACCATTGTTTAAAATACTATTTAATTGTACATGTGTGAAAGAAGGAGTGGATTATAAAAATATTTCATGGATATGTTTATAACATTAAATAGTTTTGCCATAGTTTAATAACTCAGGATATGATATTATATTTAAATAATTAGGTATCTATTGGCCATTCATTCCGGAAAAGCATCAAGTAACCTTTTAGGGAATAAAATTAGTGAATAATTTGATTAATTTTCCTTTTGTGAAATTCCAACATTATCCACTTAAATTAGTGTGACAACTTTTGACCTATCCATGGCAGGCAATGAAAATCACGTAATTTCATTTTAGTAAATTTTACAATGGAAAATAATAGTTTAATAACCAATAGTCCTACGATCCATAATCATTTATAGGATAAATACTCAGATGTACTTTCAAATCTCTCCTAGATATATATGAACATTTCGGTTGTCAAAATGACTAACACCAATTTCAACATTCTTTATTATTAATTTTAGTGATGTTTCTAGTGGCAAAATTTATACCTTTATTCACCGTTTTATATTTCAAAATTGCAATCACCTACTCTGGAATCAACTTGCTCAATGTTTGTATAGATATAACTTTTAAGCTTTAGCTCCGTTTAAGATGCATTTCAAACATTTTATAATACCCCAACATTGCCAGAAAACAATTTCTATGCAAAGTAGAGGGGTAAGTGAAAGTTGTGTGTTGTCCGCACCAGATTTTCGTTAAATATTTATTTATATATTCTCTAGTATTAAATTATTCTAAGCCATGATCATCTCAATATAAATGTACCTGTATTTTATAGAAGCATATCTTGAAACTTATTTTAAATAAGGCAAAATTATTCCCCACATATCTGTTTAATGAAACTCAACTTTTCACTATAAATCAAATTATTTTCAAAAATTGGACTTTGGGACAAATAAGAAATAGTCCGCGGGTTTTATCGAATTATTAACTTCGTAAATAGTTTCATCTCATCGTAACCTACAACTATTTTATTTACGAAGACACTTGGAATTTGGGCATTTTCAATCTGGAGGGGAGCAAACTTTGTCTATTTAATTAGGCTCCATAAAATCGTAAATACCCATTTCCTTTCTACTTGGATAGTAACATAATAGGTATTTACGAGTTTTTAGTACCTAATTAATTAAATACAGTCTCCCCCCCTTCAGATTGAAAACACTCCAATTCCAAGAGTTTTCGTAAATAAAATAGTTGTAGGTTACGATGAGATGTAGCTATTTACGAAGTTTCAGGCGGATGTTAATAATTCAATAAAAAGGGGTCTGTACCACGAACTAAAACATCTGCGCCTAGTAAGGTCTATAAACTTCTTAACCATTTCCATTAGCTAAACAATGATCTATATTTAAAGATTTATAATTTTTCATTTCAGAATAAAATTATTGGGAGAAGCAATTTTCGGAAATAGTATACAACCTCAGTATTGGCGGGTTTCATATCAGCTAGTTTTGTCCATCAGGGAATACAAAAATGCTCTACGTTTGCAATTTCCGTATTTGACTATTCCTGATTTAAAAAAAAAAAAATCCCAGTACATATTGAACATTCATATATACTTAGCAGTTATATTTTCACAAGTAAAATAGATGTAACGAAAAATCCACTAGAAGCTATCCTAAGCAATTTCTACACTATCCTTCAAATTACCTCCTAATTTGGGTAAAATAGAACTAGCCATTATCAAACCATAGGCGTGTCAAAAAAACAAAACGTTTGCTGATCCGAAAGCGGAAGTATTTTTTGAAAGCAGTGATTGGAATTTGATGAAATCTATATATACTTTATTATCTGTTTACCTATCCTCCAAATTTGAGCCAAATCGAACTTTGCGCCTATGTAAGAGAAAGTAGTGGAATTCAATAAAATTGATACTAAATAATTTTTTGTTTACCAATACCGTTCTTTCATTTAACTTTGAGCCGAATCGAACGACTCGTTTCTGAAATATCGGCATATCTAAGAAAATACGTTTACTCATATGTAAGCGGAAGTATTAGATGGAATTTGATAAAATTTATATGGGACTATCTAGACACTAGCCCACACAATCTCTGAAATGTCATAAAAATCGGATAAATGGTAGCAAGTATGAGATATCGTTAGAGGTGAGATATCGACAGAGGTGAGATATCGATAGAGGTGAGATTTCGATAAAGGTGAGATATCGAAAGCACAATATAGATATTAATATCGGCTAATAACTATCGATACTATCAAAATATCGGACTTAAAATATCGATAGTCGATATTATAAAGATCTTTTAAATATGAATAGAGAGAGAGAGAATCACTTTATTATCATAAAATAAAATGGTGCTGCTTAATTACATTGGGTTGCTAACAACACAGCATATTAATCACTACAGACAATTTTTAAAATTAATATACAATTATATAGGATTAACAATATGTATGAGCATAGTATACAATATTTATATATATATTATTATTATTTTATTTTATTTTTTTTTACTATTTCTTTCATTCATTTATTATCATTCTGTACCCTTCCTCTTCCTTCTCTCCCCTTATACATGTTCCCACTCCTCATATTCTCTCCTCTCTCTTTCTAACCTATTACATAAAAAATACATAAAGTACAGTGGACGTGTTCAATAAATAATAAAATAAAAATGCTGTAACACCTATAAATATTGTTTCTCTAGTACATAGATGCATTAAAAAAGATCTTATTTTACTCTTTAAATTAATTAATGAAAATATCAATTTTCTTACTCTCCATTCTATATGAAACTAACAAGATAAGTATAATTTTTCCTGAAGAGCAGATTCATGTATAATTTCTAGATCTTTCCGAAAACGATAGTTTTAATTTTTAAATTAAAATATCGATAGTCATTAATATCGAATATTGGAAGGAAAATATCGACTATCAATGACCATCTCCACTGAGTCTAATATTCCATTTTAAAAATGGAAGAAGGACTACCTGGCGTTTAATTAGCGTGTTTTTCCGACTTCTTAGCAATCATTTTAGTTGTTTTTGTACGTTACTAATGTGAGCAGACATCATTGTAAACACAACTTCAGATACATTATTTTGAAAAAAACAAACAATATATTTTTTCTCTCAGTGTATGGGTTCTTTTAACGCCAGATAATAATAATTAAATTTTATATATCGTGGGTAAATAATTATATTTTTACGTTTGACTTTATTTATTCACTTATCTTGAGAATGTTTATATATTCATAGAGGAAATTTAATAGATGTTTGATGTCAATATTCTTGATTGTTAGTGATTATCTGCAATGGATGATGAATTGACCGGCGCACAGTGGGGCGTAAGGGTAAAGTCGCGATATCGCCTAAATCTCTCTCTCTCTCTTATATATATATATATTAGAACTCCAAAAACTAGATAAACTGATTTATTGATACCTTCTAGAATTCGTGAAAATATTTTCAGTTATATTTTTCACTTTGTTTATTGAATATTCAATTTTTTAAAAATAAATAAATAAAATAGAACCAGCCTATGTCCCAAGTTTTCCCTTCCTCCCGACACTGTGTGGCGTTGCCAAGTAACGAAACATTTGGACGACGTTGCTTGGCAACGGACTGGCAATTTTAATCTTACTCCCTAGGCTTAAGAATTTTCTAAGGAGTGAGGATTTAACCTATAATGAGGCTAAAAGATTAATTACCTTTTGAAATAGAGTTACTTTAAATACTGTAACAAAGTTTGATTAAAATTGACCTACGTTTATTGGAAAACTGATTCACTAGAAAAAAACTACACCAAGGCTTTAAATAAAATAATTATTATCTCTGCTAAATTCAAAAGAGATTTAGTTTAGAAAAAACAAAATACAGTGTAATATAATAATAAACAAAAAACAGTGTTGCCACTGGACCCAAAACAGAACATAATTTCCCATTTCTCTTCCTTAAAAAAAAATCAAGAAAATGGACACCATCAACAGTGATACTCCTAAATAGATCAGTCAGCTGATTTGCATTAATTAATATTATTTAAAAATATGAA